GGAGTTGTTGAGACTAGCCAGGACGTGGATGGAGAAAGAGACTTTCAGAGAGTCTATCTGGGATTGAGCAAAACAGATGGAAGGATCCAAGCTGTCGTAATCACTGTCTGTTCAGAGGCTTAGCTAAGCAAAGCAAAGCAAAACATCCCAGATAACTTAATCAGAAAAAAACCTATTAATTGTTACTGGACATGAAGCATCTAAGCTATAGAAAAGGGACACAGAGGATGCTGGTAATTCCCAGCAGTTCCTGAGTCAACAGGTCATAAGTATTACAGGTTTTTTAACTTAGTAACTCAACAATTTGTTGTATTTTGTTTGCATTAAAACAAAGAAGCCTTACCAGAAATGAACCTCTTATGAAAGTCTTTTATTTTTCTTTAGTTCATAATCATTTTAATATATGAATGCAATGACTCAACATTTGTAAGAAGGCTGGAGCACAAGCCGTATTTTTAGACTCTGCTAGTGTTATTAACAAGTGTATATAATTGTTAGGATTATTTAGGCTAGGCGCTCAGCTGACTGAAGTAGAGGCATTGTAACATCTTCAGTAATACAGTATAATAACTATACTTTGTGTGTCATGTGTTTGATATGCTGTTACAGCAATAAACCTACTGTGACTGGCTTCTTTGGAATGCTGGCAAATCTGTCCATTAAAAAAAAAAAAAAAGTAAATTCCTAAAATAATGGAATAAAGCTACAGAGGTCAATCACCCTTAACTTCCTAGGGATTCCATGTAGAAACCACAGTTTTAGGACTATGACCTTTAGTGTTTGTGGTTCTAAATTAAAATAATTGCTCAATAAAACTTTTTTTTTCCATGCATCATCTATTTCCATATATAGAATCACATTACTCAATCAATCTTTATGCTGAAATTTAGCTCATAAAATGGTTTAAAATCTGAAATAGACTCTATTGGTGGTAGGGAAAATCTTTTTCTTCTGTAATTCCTGCATCTTTGTTCAGTTAATGGAGAATTAAAGAGAGGAAGCTATTAGTGGCAAGGATTAAAATTAGTTCCATGAAATAGTAATTTACTAAGCTCACCTTTTGTTGCACTCTAGAACCCATTTCAAAATCAAAGTTTTTCCATTTCATGACTACGTGTGATGAGCAGCTTATGGAAATCCCTTCGAGTAATAAACAGACCTGAAATACCTGCTTTTGTTCCACGCTTTTTCTCCTCCCTGCCAGTGGAGAGAAAAGTGTTGGAATTTGTCTGATGCCTTCAGCATCACTGAACTCAGGGTTTTTCATGAGAACAGACTACCAAATCAGAGAGCCTTCATAGGGAATACAGGCATAATTGCTGGCTTTCAAACTGGAAGTAAATACCTGAAATATTCCAGGTGATGTGCGGATGACGGTGATGCAGTAGTTTGTAGCATAACCAAAGCTTCCGATTACGTCTGGAAACAAACTGAAATCTGATGCAGTCTGTTGAGTATTTCCTCCTGTCACACTGCTAAGGAAAGCTGTAGTAGCTCATGGGGGATTTCCAAATGTTAAGAGGATAGCAGCAACACCAGATGTTCAGTCTTGAGGGTCAGCTGTCTGACAGTGCTCAGGGAAGGAAAATTTCTGCAGATAACTTTTGGTAAATAGGTTTCTAAGAGCAGCCAGAAAAAAAGGCAGCTGCTGAGATTCTCAAGTACAAGAATCTTTTTGCCTAAATGCTTAATAAAAAAAAAAATTTTCATTGTCACTAAGCATTTAAGTTCCCTTTCCTGCCCTCTTTCTCTTGCATGTAGGTTCCTTTGTTGAAACTCAGCCAAAGGGCTTAAGATCTGGCAGCTCTGTCTTCTGATATTGATCCAAACTAATTTCATGTAGATGTCTGGCTGTCAGCACTGATCACGCCTGCCAAAATCCATCAACATCTGTATCTTTTTTTCCTCTCTAGAAAGCAGGATTTGTGGTGGGAGTGGGAGGAGGAAGTCGCAGGAAAAGGATGTTCCTGAGTACGTACACCTTTGTCTAGCTATCATAAATGCCTTTCTGTCCCCAAACCGCAGATGGCGTTCCATGTTCTCAGAATCCAACAGTTGCCATAGAAACCTGGATCAACTTCAACAAGGAGGAGCGAGCGGGCTTCGCAGAGACGCTGCGATCGAGCCTGAAGGTATAAAAAGACCTTCTGTTCCAGGGGTGGGGTAGCACTTGCTGGTTTTGCACTTCCCAAAGCAGGGTATTCTGCTCGAAGGTGTGACTTGAAAGTCACAAAACACAAATGCCATTGAAATTCATGCTGCTTGCATGAGGAATACTCTCATTGTCATAAATAGCAACCCCACTGACAGCTTTTTTAATTTAACCTGAGGCTGCTTTCACTACTGACTGGAGCAATGCCACAATTAACTGATTTCACCAGATGCTCAGTTACGAAAGAGACCATTCAGAAAGCTGAGTTTGGCATTCCCCGTATGATAACTCTACTCCACCAGTGATGTGACCAGCCCTTAACCTAAATCGCAGACACGCGGGTTCCAGTGAAGTCAGTTGCTATTTTGATACGACTGGTTATCTTGAAAAGGCTTTGAGGCTCTGAAAGCTGTAGGGTGGCAGGACTTGGGAAGTATGTCACACACCCCAGGCCCACGGGTGGGCCCTAAGCTGCAAAATTCAGTCTTGGGCATCACTGATGTCGGTGTAAACAGGTGCACTTCTGCTGACACACTCCTCCTTTCTCTCAGGTGATTGGAGAAAACGTTCACATCTACCTGATTGGAAAGGAGTCGTCACGTACACATTCACTGGCTGTCTCTCTGCATTGTGCTGATGACGACTCCATAAGCGTGAGCGGCCAGAACAGCCTGTGTCACCAGATCACCGCAGCCTGCAAACATGGGAGTGACCTATATGTCGTCGGTGGCTCCATTCCACGACGCATGTGGAAATGCAACAACGCGACTATAGACTGGGAATGGTGTGCCCCTCTGCCCCGTGACCGGCTCCAGCACACCCTTGTCTCTGTGCCAAGCAAGGATGCCATTTATTCACTGGGGGGGAAAACTCTGCAGGACACTCTCTCTAACGCTGTCATATATTACAGAGTACGAGACAATGTCTGGACAGAGACCAGCCAGTTGGAAGTGGCAGTCTCTGGAGCTGCAGGTGTAAATCTTAATGGTGTCATTTACCTGCTGGGTGGGGAGGAAAATGACTTGGACTTCTTCACCAAGCCCTCTCGGCTAATTCAGTGTTACGATACCAACACAGAGAAGTGCCACGTGAAGCCATACGTTCTGCCTTTTGCAGGGCGCATGCATGCTGCCGTACACAAGGATGTGGTGTTCATTGTAGCCGAGGGGGATTCGCTGCTGTGCTATAATCCCCTCCTGGATAGCTTCACGCGGCTGTGCCTGCCAGACGCCTGGAGCTCGGTACCATCCCTCTGGAAAATCGCCAGCTGCAATGGCAGCATCTATGTCTTTCGCGACCGCTATAAAAAGGGTGATGCAAATACTTTTAAACTGAACCCAGCCACCTCTGTTGTAACAGTCACAAGTGGCATCAAGGTGCTGCTCACTAACCTGCAGTTTGTCCTGGCCTAAGCGGGGAAAAACCGGTCCTATGATAGAAAGGGCAGCAACAATGTTCTGCTGCGTGGCTCAGAGGCACCCACCCCCCTCAGTACCCGCCCCAATTACTATGACCTCACAAGGTCCAGTAAGACCCCATCCTCTATACCTGTGCAGAGGAAGTATGGGCTTTCAGGCTGTGGGCCTGTTCTTTTACATAGCACTGGTCGAGATGAACTGCTGCATCTTAGATTTCAGATGGACTAAATGCTATTACCTTGATCCCTTGATGATAAGCTGCTTGTGTTTGAGGCCCAAACTGCAGCAAATGACTTTTTTAGCCTGGAACCAATCTGCAAATAACAAATCCTATAGCATATGGACAATGTCCTCCTTGGCCCAGACTGCTAGTTTCAGCTGCCTGGGAGACTGTGTGTTGCTGCCGTGTCAGTCACAGAGCTAGATGTGCACTGTGTCCTCCAGGAATGTCCCCGTTTAAACATTCCCGTGTCCCTACTGCAAAAGGAAGGACTGGCAGAAATATTGACAGCAGACAGATTCCAGAGCTGACCCCAAGACCTTTAGTAGGTTGCGCTATTCAGCACTTCTCCTAGAGGACTGGTAACAGACTGGGAACTTGCTTGCTGCTCTGTCATCACCTAGCATAAAGAGGGAGGTTGTTTTTATGAGCATTGGCTTCCTTTTACTGTACAGGGAATCCCCACCTATAATCATAACATAGCGTTGGTGAAAGATGGAACTAAGACCACTTCCTCCTGCCCCTCTCTGTTGGCACTGTAACCCTTTGGGTAAGAACCTGAATAAAGTCTCTGCTGAGACAAAGTTTTCCTTTCCTTTGGTGCAAATATTCTAGAACTTCTGGTGGATTGCACCTCGGCTCAGCACTGATGACGTGTGTGGGAGAAAAAAACTGGGACTCCAAGAGAACTAAGATATTAGCCATAAGGAAAGAAAACTTTAATGAAACAGCGCCAATCTCCATCCCGCTGGGATCGGCACGGTGTGCTGAAACACACCAAACACACTCCGGTTTGCTGAACGGGAGCATTGCCGAGAGCAAATGCTACTGTCCTGCGTGCCAGCTCCCAATTCATCCCCCAGGATTACATCATCTCAGTTTTGTTTTTACATTCTACTGACCTTCAGGTTTTGTCTGTTTTCCACTACATGGTGCTTTGAACCTGCTGCTTCTCACACTTGCAGTAGGGCTTTCTGCAGTGCTGCTGCACTTGTCCACAACCATTCTAACCTGAAGGTCAGTTGACATTTTTGCTAACCACCAGTTCTTTATTCCCACATAACAGCCCAACCTCCTCTTTACTGTAATTTATGTAAAAACTTCTTTATTCATGGTCAAGAAGTACAACGCTTAAGCCTTCATTAGATAATTAAAATGTAAGGTTTTTTTAAAGCAGTCAAGACAGAGATTCTGATAGTTCTTACTGACACTATGCAGTTGTCCCAGCAATCATGTTCCTGTGAAATGTCTCCAGGACCTGGACTTGCTTGTGTCGAATGAGGATGTGGGGACGGATCTTGGCAATAGCCTCTATTGCTTCCTGAGGGCTCCAGTGATGCAGCTGAAAAGGCAGAAACCCTTCACGTGAAAATTCATTCCATCCATGCACCACTTAGTGGAGCCTTCCCAGAGGCTACAGGCAACATCAGAGCTGTGTCCTGGTTTCACAGAAAGAAAATCTGCCCCAGCTGAACGAAAGTTAACTCTGTCCAAGCAGAGTTGCTAGAAAACTTGCTGCTTTGCCTCTTCATGTTGCTCTCAGAGGGGCCTGAATGTCAATGTAAGTTCATTAAATGAGTCCCTCAGTTTAAAGAGGGATGCTTGCTGCCTGGGATCTTTATTTTCTGTCTCATGCTTCCATAATGTTGTGAATGGTTTTCTTGTCCTAGTCATACCAGACCAGAGCAAAAGAGCAGCTTGCTTTTTTTTTTTCTTTTTTTTAAACTTTACTAGTACTCCCATAGCACTTCAGCACTGAGGGAAAACTTTCCAGGCAGCACTTAGTGACACCAACGTAAGAAGCCACAGGTGGGATTTTGTTCTTAGGGCTGGCTTACCCAGTTGGGTCTGTAGAGGAACTCAGAAAACTAAAGTTACTTTTCTTGATCCTGAATTGTATTTATTGAAAACCTTAGAAAAGCTCACCATTTCAGTTAATCGAGGAACAACATCTGAACAACAAAAATGGATGTTTAAACGCTCAGTGAACCTACCCTCCCTGGGTGTTATTCCCATCTCAATCTGTTCCTCCATAAAAAGAACTAAGAACAGCAGAATAATTCAGACAGAACCTATTGAGAACTTACCATATTAATGGCCCAGAAAACTGAGCAGCTTCCTAAAGCTGGACTGATTTGCCAGAACCAGCAACAGATACTATCAGACCATGTGTTTCAAAGCTCTGTTGCAAAAATAGTTTCTCTTTCCCGTAAAATCAGAACATCTTGGTGTGTGCCTGTGCTAATACCTGAGGTGGCAGAGGCAGACTGGACAGAGGAATGAAAACACCTCTTAAAATGGCAGCTACTGTGCAGCTTCACCACTCTCTCACTGACAGGAAGTTTTATCTTGACAGTACCATAACTGTAGATGAACAAGGTGTGCAAAGATAAACTAGATTATCAAAGAAAGCTTGTTCAGCAAACATTAAGTTTCACTTGTTCATTTAGCTTTCATCTGCCAGGTTCTACAAAGCAGCAATGTCAGTTTGGGGCCTAGCTACCTACCTGTCTTCAAATGGATCTCCAGTCCAAACTCTGTAAAATCATGGAATATTAATGTACCTGCACATGCTCAGCCTTCCTGAGCAAAAGGAAATTGTAAAGGTTGGCTGTGATTGCCCAGACTATGAAAACAAACCCCACTTAGTACAGAACCCTTCTTACACGAATTAGATACGCTGCCACCATGGTGGCACTGCGGGAGCGTCCTGCCTTGCAGTGCACATAGACACTGTGACCGCACGCTCGGTGTTTCAGTATGAATTCAACACCCTTGTGCAGGTTTTCCAAGGTGGGGACTCCAGTTAGATCTACGGTGCCGAGACGCAGTTGTTCCACTCCCATTGCCTCCCATTCCTGAAACGGACATAGAAGATTCGATCAGTTAACTTTTTGGGTTTTTTTTTTACAGAAAGAAAACCCAGAACCTGTTGAGACAGTTGTGAAATTCTATTTAACAGGGCCTGTAGCAATAGGAC